AGTTTCCGTTTTGTAACGCTCGGTTCATCTCTCGTATTCGAGGTATACTCGAACGATACGGTAATCATGTATCGTGCTACGTCATTTTGTTCAATCGCTCTTGTACCTCGTCTAACGTTTTTACTCATTGCTGAACTGTCGAATGGGACGAAGTTTGACAATCAATGATTGACACACGTGTACGTCATTGATTGGAAACGAATTACCAAATGTACTTCCCAGCCACTCGTTCAAGTGATCATTTTGACTATATACATTTCCATGGGAACAGAGAACGTATCCCAGTTTGATAAAAGCGAATCTTTTCAATTTCACTTTTCTTCAATTTATAGACAAACGTCGGACGTGACGTTTGTTGTTACAGAGATATAAAGAACTGTATATTCCCCTTGATCCGTGATTTTTTGTTGTAAATACGAAAAAAAAAAAGAAAAAAGAAAAAAATTACGTTATTTACAGTACTAGCAATAGCTTCGAATAACTATCCACATTTTGGCATCAAACTATTGTGCTTATTCAGTTTAAGATAATATGTAATATATATATATATACACATATATATATATATATATCGCCATATATATATATATAGAGCATCAAATTTTACATCGAATATATACAGATATAAAGAATATTGTACAGATTGCATGGATTTTGAGGAGGCCATAGTGCTTAAGTAATTATATATTTACATACACGCAAAAAGTGTAAAAAGGGCGATACCCCTTTTTTTTCTGAAAATCATTAGATAGACATGTATATCAAAATGATTTTTCCATAAAACTTGACGTCAGTGCGAATTAGGTTTATCCTTTTCTCCCTTCGATTGTTGATTCATGAATGAAACGACGATGCAGTTTATAAAAAACTGTTGGAAATATTCGAATCAGCGAATGCTGACCCATTCTTTTCGATGAAGAATAAATGAGATGTACGTTATTATATGCAGACGTGCACTGTACGCAAGTTTTACTGAACAAGTCAAAAAAGAAAAACAAAAAAAAAAAA